TTCTAAGGCAATCACGTTAACACATATCTAAATGTGAGATCTTCTAAGACTCGTTTATACAGAAGCCAGGCTGTCCCACAATGACCACTAGAGATTCGCTCTGCGTAAGTGTGAGCATAGGCTGCCCAACCCACCTAACCCATTTAGTCTACGGATTCTCATGGAGAAGCTTAGATCGGCAGAGCATTCCATTACATAGCGAGACTTGGGATCCAACACAAATGCTGCCAGAACAGTACCTTCGGGTAAGAGATCAAACCGCAATTCCTCACCGGTAATAGCCAGATATATTAGATAATGAGCAACAGGTTGGCTGGGTCAATTTCTTGAAATTCTTTTTGCGCAAACACGAAAATGACCGATCTCATGGTTACACCCTGGACGAGCTCGACTTGAGAACGATGTTTCTGGAATACAAACTTATACAAAGGGTTTCCCACTGCGTTTTCTTATTTAGATTTTTGCCGTTTTTCGAGTAGACAGAACACCCACCGCATTTATTTCTTCTCACAGCGTTTCTCTTGCTGTTTGCTAGTATGGTATCGATCACTCATAAACTGCTCTACTTTTGAGCCTTGGCTGGTGTTACCAGTGTGTACCTGAACATTTCTGAGGAAGAGATATCGACGTGGCTGTTGAACTTAACATTTAACGACTTCTAACAAAATTGTTTAAAACAAGGCTTTGGGGTTGATTTGTACTGTACTATTCAAATTTTCTCCGTCGCCACATCAACCAGTGTGCTTGGTTTCATTGGATCAAAAGCCGGATATCCGGATTCCATAATGCCGCGGTTTTAGCTCCCCTATGGAATCCTAGAGGTTCACCATGTGGTTACAAATTCACTGGGCCAGTTTTACACGCGCCTACACGTTAAGCGCGCGTGCTTGTGATAGTCCTGCACAAACCGTTAGAGCTTCAGACCCTTAACACACTAAGTGGGAGTTTTAAAGTCAGTTCATCCAGACCACTATCCTTCTATACTACGCGTCGAAAAAAGTGATCTAATTTAGACTGCCGAAGCAAAGCACTGTATAGACTGGAGAGTGCACTAAAATGTCTGCTGGAAAGTGAAAACTTTTAAGCTATTTTAATTTGTTGAGTGTGGTATAGTCCAGTCGGTGCAATCAAGAACAGGTTTCCAGCAACGCTGAAATATCAGCTAGTATTCTTTGGGAAATATCACAAAGTATTTTTTTATTCGAAGGAACGGTGAAAATCTATATATTCGTGTCTCCTACAAATAGGGATAGAGTATTGAATTACATTGAATTTTGGTGCATTGTATTGCACTATATTGTGTTGCAGTGTAATTTATTAAATTATAAAGATTTGGATTGTATTGTGGTGCATGTATTATGGTGTATTGTACTGCGTTGTATTACATTCTATTATTACATAAAAATCGATCTGGCGATCACTGATTGACGCAAACCATCGGTTAGATACAATGAACTGCTTATGTTTTCCCGGAGGTTTTCTGTCTATCTATTCGGTTTGCTCGCGTTTTTACCAGAATTTCACTAACACTAATACCTCAGACTGACGGACAAGTCAATAATATCAGCGATGAACATCTTTTGCAAATGAGAGGATCTTGATAACCACAAAATATACTAACTCTTTGTAAGTTACATACATTTAGTGCCGTTGTACGGACTTCAAATTGAATTGCGCGTGACGTACTCCAGTTGGCTGGATAGATGCAGCGTAAGTCAACAAGAAAATATTGTATTAGTTCAGCTGAAAAGCAACAGGCTAGCAGAAATCGGCAAAGTAGATTGTCATCTAAATTCGCCAACCAAATGCAGGAGAAATGTGATTATTCCACAAATGATCCGGTTGCTTACGTGATCAAACACCAGATAATGCATTATGTTTTCCACCTCTGAATAAACGACTACACCATAAAGTACAGTCATTCATCCTTCATTATGTCACATATTAGTACTCAAAATTTTTCGAAAGCTAATCATCATCATCATCGTCGACAGCATGACATCAGTGTTCAACACCGATGCTTCACTGCCCTACAACGAAGATTTATTTACAAGCCTTATTGTAAAGAAAAGAGTAAAGGTAGACAGTGAAGGGACTTAGTGCTAGCTTACCACAATCATTCCGAGGTGCCTACACCTCCAGACACTCACTCAGGCGATCCGGATAGAAACTGACAACAAGAACGCCATTGACATCGGTTGGCAGTGATATATTGTAGTGTTTCCAACCAGGCACGGTGAGGATCACGCGGTCACCATCCTGGAAGGCAAGTAGCACCGACAGCACTCGAGCGTTTCGTGATCTCCCTCATACTCCTCTGTCAAGTCAAGGGTTGGCCAAATCTTTGTTTACGCCACTCCGAATTGGGCATGGAAATCAGTACTCTCTTAGGCAAACGATGGTTCGGCATACGCAACACATGTTCCACCCCTCGCAGCTTCTGATTTTGAACACATTCTTCAATGGAAGTACCCGTTGCGCAACCAAAGACGCGCTTTCTAACCGCCTCATTACGGAGTCGCAGATACCAACCCACACGAGCTACGGATCTGAGGCAACGATTGTCGAACAACTGAAGGCGTCTCAGTTCCGCTGCTCGAATAGGCAAAGTCTCAATGGCCATACAGCAAAACAGCCCGTAGTGTAGTTTGATACACACGTCCCTTCAGATTCAGGGATAAACCATTCGGACGCCATAGGTGTCTCAAATTAGCAAACGCAGCCCGAGCTTTGCAGATTCGTGCAATCAGAACAAATACAGCTTCCAATATAAGTAAAATGCTCCACAAATTCCAGCACCTGTCCCTGGATTGTAAGTCGCGTGTTCAGTGACTGAACGTCCACGAGCAAGACCTTACACTTTGTGGGTGCAAAGTGCATACCAAAGGACGGGATGACTTTGGTCAGTTCATCCAAAAACACCTGCGCCTTCTCCTCTTCGAACATGAGTTTGATGTCGTCTGCATATTCCAGATGGACAAGATTTTCTTCACAGGCTATTTGAACACCAGGGTTTTGGAGACCCTGCAGCATTCGTCGCATTATTTCATCGATCGCGAAGTTAAAAAGGAATGGAGAGCGTCGGCACCCCTGATGGACACCGCTTTGTGTACGGAAGCTTTTAGAGAGCTCTCTGTACACTCTCACACGTCCGGAAATTTGAAAATACAGAGAACGTAATATGTTTACAAACTTCCGGGCATTCCTTTGTGGGCGAGCGGCTCAATAAGAACAGACCGATCAACCGAGTCGAATGCGCCTCGGAAATCCAGGAATACTAGAATGTTGAGTCGCTTATACGTATGGCGTTGTTCTAGCACCTGACGCAGTGTGAAAATTTGGTCAACGCAACCCCTAGCAGGCCGGAATCCCGCTTGCTAATCTCGTCAGTGTCTCACGAGCCACCGTGAGACGACGAAGCGCAATTGACGCCAACAATCTCGTTACAACCGGCGTCAAGCTGATCCCCCTGTGGTTACGAAACTCGCAACGCGCCCCTTTTTTGAAAACGGGCACTATCACCGATTCTCGCCAGTTGTCTGGGACAGATTCAGTTTCCCAAATGCAAGCAACCTGATCGGACAAGCGCTGACTGAGGACTTCAACCCAGTCCTTGAACAGTGCGAGTGGGAGGTCATCCGGACCAGGAGCTCGGTGGCGCTTGAGAGAACATATGCAGTCGTAAACCTCCGAGGCCGTAGGTGGTCCCACGTTCACCGTCTAGGGTTCTACATGACCTGTGGGCTCTAGATGAGTGCCGGCTGGTGGCCGCGACAGTTGTTGTTCAAAGTATTCAGCCCACCGGTCGAGACGTTTTTCTTTATTCGAGATAGTCGCTCCATTCTGATGTTTGATGACTTCACTCACAGGTGGTTTCCGGGGACCGGTCGCACGGATCAACTGAAGTAGTCTTCGGGCATTACCGGCTTTCTGTGCCTCTTCCATTTCTTTGGCTTTCTCTGTCCACCATACTTCACGGTTGGATCGCAGGCTCTCTTTCACTTGACGTCTGATAACTCTTCGCACCGGGTTATGTTCAGGACCAGTTGGGATATTTCTTCGAGATTTAAGTAGTGCCACCGTTCGGTCTGATATCCAGTACTTGGATGCGCCTGCTTAGGTCGTGCCACAGGCAAAATTGCCAGCATTATGCAAATAGGTGGCAATCTCGTCCCAGTATGAGTTCACATCTGATTGTGGAGTATTCGGACTCTTCCAACTCTTCCGACTCTTTTAATTCTAGAAGACGACTGTGGTAAGCTTGTCTGATATCCGGATCCGCCAGTCATTCAGTTGCCAGGCAATTCGTCCGCACCTTACGCGGCCCCGGAAAACGTAGCGAGAAGCGACTCCGGACGAGCGCGTGGTCAGAGTCCGCAAATGTGTTCCAAACCGACCGCCAGTCAGTTATCCATCCGCTGCATCGGTAACTGATGGCACTGTGGTTGATTTGAGTTTGTTGCCGGCCTGCCGTTAGAGGACACCAAGTGGCCAGACAACTTCAGCTACTTCGGAAGTTAGTACTGCATATAAAACAGCCTGCGATCAGCACACATCCGAAGCAATCGTTCCCCATTGTCCGTAGGTACCGAGTCCAGTCCATGTCGACCTCCCAATTGAGTCTCAGATACACTGAGCCTGCCCACTTGCGCATTCATATCTCCGGCAACCACCACAATGTCTGAGATTTTAGCTCGTCGCATCAGAGCATTCAGGGCGTCGTAAAATCTGTCTTTGACGGCGTCGGAGCTACAATCAGTTGGGGCGTAGGCAGACACGATAAACAGACATCCATCAACTTGCCGCTTGTGAGACTCCTTCGCAGACATAGCCAGGCGAACCGCACAGAGGCGACTATCAACAGGTATCCAGTCAAGTAAGGATACTTCCGCCGGGTGATTTAGCACAATTCCAACCCCTACACATCCCGCGGCAGCAGCATTGGATCACCAGAATTGCGCAGTCGCAAGCGGGTGGAGACTGACGGATTGTTAGCTCAATCACTGTGCTTGTATATTGATTTCTAGTTTCTGAGACACAGAATCATCAATGCCAAGCGAGTCCAGTGTGAGTGAAAGAGCAGCTTGTTGTCCTGCTTGCTTCAGAGGGTGGATATTAAACGCGGCCAGATTGACTGGGTATCGAGGCTTGAGAACTGATTTGGAGATACCTGAAGTTGTCGGCGCCATGTGGCGAGCAGATGCCCCACGCAAAACCGATGCATGAAGAACGGAGTCATCAGTCCTAAGTGCTGGGTCTACAAAAGGAGAGTTATTAATGGGGTGGGGAGAGGGGGAAGAAAAAGTGTGTGAAAGAGAAAGAAGAGAGGCGTCAGCAGTAGCCTGATTTCGTTTACCAGCCCTGCTGTATGCAGTATGTAGGGCGACCCGGCTGATGGCACCACGCGACGGCCGATGTGGCATGAGTTTTGTGAGTCGTTAATGTCTTGGTTGTACGAGGGCTGGGATACTGCCAGGGTGCCACATCTAGACAGGAGGACGATTAGGGTCCTCAACCAAAGCTACTGGCTCAAAAGCCTAACCGCAAGGCAGCGGTGTTTGGCTGGAAATGCAAATGCATTACCATTTCTACGGAACAAGTCGCCAAATGTTCCAAACCCCAACCTGGTGGGCCAGGAGACTGTGTTCGTCAGACCTCTAACCATTGACCAATCTGGTATGAGAGACTGTGAGTGTCGCGCGGACACTACCCAGTATAGCTCAATGGATCGCTTAGGTGCGCAAACCGCCACACCACGGTAAGGTCCAGTCCCTTCTTGACGGAAAAGAAATATGCGGTTCGATCTACATGAGAGCTTTCGCATATTCAAGCCTCTTAAATCACACGCAGAGGGATTGCCCAATTGACTGTCTGATTAAGATTTCGAAACTATTACTCATGAGACAAGCGACCGCCGAAAGTTTATGTAGTTGGTGAATTTCTTTATAGTTTGTTATTTGGTTAAACCAGGCATCCTCTTAGGAGACCTAAAGAGACCAAATAGTCTATACCACTCGTATGACGTTGCTGTAAAATTGTCACTGCTGAACTAGTTGTTGTCAGGTCCTCCTCAAGGATCGATGTTTAGGAGGAATAGCTTAACAGAATGAATGACCTGAGTGTCATTGAATGAGTACACCATGTGTTCACCTAGAGGCAAAATGTGGGTGTATGTTTCAAGTTACCAAAAAAAATCAGATAAAAGCGGTATAGTTAGTTTCTTCAAACAAAGTGACTATAAAGTGGCAATAATTCCAAGTAACTGAAATATCTTTTGTGACATTTTACTCACCGGAATGAATTCGAAACTTTCGAGTAACAAAGTCTGATGTTGTCGACCAGGTCTAAAACAAGCCCAAGGACAAAATAACTCAATAAATAAATCGCTCAGTAAACTATCGATGCGGACAGAATTGAAGTTTTTCTGTCTCGAGGACAGCAAAGCAAAAAGACGTCTGAATTAATCAAGTCTTACATGTTTTAGCACCCTCCTGGTTATAGCAGGAGCATATGCCTTCGTAAAATGTCACGATGGGGTAAAACCGTGCAACGCTGTAACAGTACTCAGTAATTTCCCTGCCCTTGTGGCGGTAGAGCGAGTGTGAATTACGGCTTTGAAAGCCAACACAACACATAGACTATTTGACAAGCCTCAATAACTTAAGGATTATAATAAAACGTTACAACGTTTGAAAGGAATGACTGGCCTAGCCCTCTAAGTACGCCATGAACCTCATCTTAACCGGATTTTCACGTAAGAGATGTCCCATATGGTCCGCATGGTTAACTGAAAACTTATGGGAGGTAGGCGCCCAATGTAAACACTACCGTTTGCCAGCAGTGCTCCGATAATTGTGTAGGCACCTTTATGCATTGTTTCCATGCACATTGGTTAAAAATATTTCGGGGGTCACAGACCTGGCTGAGTTTAATTGGTGTTTGGTGTTCTTTATCCTTTCCTGGAATTCACTAATGAAAAAGAAACTTTGAACGGTTACCAGTAACAGCGAAATTTAAATGCCATCTACATTGATGACATCCAAAGAACTCATATCTCAATAGTCCACCAATAACCACTGGTTTGAAAGCAGCTATCCGTTTTCAGGTTGCCCTCGATTACGTGTATCGATGATGCTTGGAACTTCCAGCCCAAACTAACGTCTGAGACATAAATGTGACTGAAACAGAGAGTCTCTGTTTGTTTATGGTGTCACTTTAATACAGATCGTTCATTTCATGACTGAATGAGGCAAAGCAAGTACTAAAATAGTGCACAGCAACGGATTGTTGTACGATTCACCGGGTAACTTTCAATGCTGTTAATCCACGAATCAATTAATCTATTTATTAATCAGTTGGACAGTGGGCAATCGATATTGGCTTCACTGAAATTCTATCATATACATGAATGTAAACGTTGTGTCGATCCAGCGATTGTTTTAAACGTCGTGTACAGGCACCACAGCTTACCAAATGCGTTGCTATCCGATTGAAACCAGAAATGTGTAAACAGGAGTCTTTACTAGCCTAATTGATAATATCTTTAAATGACTGGCTTGTTTTCGATATCTCAATGGCAAGACTTATTGTTTTATTTGTTTGACACTGTTCTATAGTATACACCAGAAGAGATACACGGAAACACTTGTTGATTCTTGTAACAACATTCCATTCCTTGTTCTAACGCAGATGTGTTCCGTCTATCAAATACGTTTGCTCAGTTAGGTTAGAAATCCCTTGAAATAAAATCAAAATTGCCGGCGGTACCTAATGTCTCAACACACCTTGGGAGTTTCCACTTAAAGGTGATGTATTGCTGACATCAAAGGTCAGCTAAAGAATCCGGGTTGGTGGAAGAAATCAGGATTTAAAAATAGTCTTTTAAGTGAAAGACTTCATGAATGCTTTCATGAATAAAAGCATTATATACATGTTGATATAAGGTATATGCATGTTTCGACCCAAAAGGCGAGCATCTTATGAGGATATCACTTTTATCCGCATGCATCCCCTTGGTCTAGAAATGATACAGAATAAACACCAAATTTTTAGCACCACCAGTATAATTCGTATTTTAAACATGTTTGATTATCTATAGCCTACCTTGCAATGAATTTCAAGACATTTTTTAATATTTATGCGTGTTTTCAAACTCGCATACTAGTAAATCCGGACTCGAAGAGTACCGCCAACAACTTGGGAGCAATAGCGAGAAATGTTAGTATGGACAAGAATGTTACGTATCAACCTGGGAATCCCTCACCTGTGCAAACAAATCCAACAGGTGCCCCTTTACTTCAAGTGTCCTGTTTGTCAAAAAATATATCAGTCTGTTGTAACATGGCTAAGCACTTTGCGACTGGAACGAATAACGTCAATACTGATAGAGGACAACGTTCGAAGTATGACAATTCGAATCGGTTGTAATAAAAAAAGTTTGGAGTTGTTGATCTATTTGGCGACGTACTTGTGGGGGAGGTTTGTTTGCGTAATTTGACAGTGCAACTGTGCTGTTCAGTTTCAATTACCTAACAGGTGAGTAGCCAGAGATTTCTACAGGAGACCAATCCGGCCTGGAACATACACACATTTCCACTGATTTGTGTGTTTAAAATATAAGCAAGATTTCGTTGTTGTGTTATCATAAAAATATTCCGCTTGAATGAGCCTTTGATAAATGACGAACTGATAGAAAT